CTTTCTTTTTAATTTTGGTATCATTAATGTACAATCACATGAGTAACATTATGGGTACTAGATTCCCCCATTATCAAGTCCCCACCACATACCCCATCACAGTCACTGTCCATCAGCCTAGTAAGATGCTATAGAGTCACTACTAGTCTTCTCTGTATATACTGCCTTCCTCGTGCCGCCCCCCACATTGTGTGTGCTAATCATAATGCCCCGTTTTCCCCCTTAGCCCTCCTTCTGGTTCTTTCTTAATTGAAAAACCATACCTAATTTAAAATTCATGTATGTATGTCCTTACTTCATTGTCCTTTTGGTTTACTTTCTGACATCTAGAAAAAGAGTCGGCACATCTGACTACTGCCTGCCCTGTGGTTCTCCTGCACTTTGACTGCTCAGAAGTCTGCAGCCTTCCCACGTTTCTCAGAGTTGTGCTACACTGGGTCTTTTCCTTCTTTCCTCAGCACCTTAAGAATCCTGGTGTTTGCATCTAAGGTCGTATTTGGTGGATGTGTCTTCTTTTTTCTTTTTTCATGTTTTTAGATTAAGTAGAACCTAAAATATATGTATATTATTCTTTTTAACTACCTCGAATGCTTATCCAATATAACATTAAAATAATATCGCATGTTGATTACAAGAAGACTTGTTTGTCTTTTTTTTGTAAGGACAAAATTACTATGCTTAAGTTACTTCTGATTTTTTTTCACCTAAATTATGTAGAGATGACTTTCAAAACCTTAATGTAACAAAAATGGCAAGGGAAAAAAGTACACATTGATTTTAAGAATGAGTGATTCCTCCAGTAATTCCTTTTCCCTATATCCTTATTCTTCATGTAAGCACTGCCTTACAAGGAAAGCTTCTGCCTTCTCTCCTTGCACACTATTACAGCGAAATTCTGAACTGAATCCACACAAAGAAAAACAATTAGCAAATGGACTAACTCTGACTTTTAAAGCGCTTCTATTCTTTAATTTTAAAAGAATTTGACTTCCTTGGAAATGCTTCTAGAAAAAGTAAGAAGTCTATAAGCCTAAGGGGGAACTACACTATTTTTTACAGACTTTTGCAGTGTGTTATAGATGGATTCTATACATAAAATGCAAATAATAGTTATGATAACAATAGTAATACTAAGAATAATAGCTAATCATTGTTGATACTTTTCTAAGTGCCAGACACCTTTCTAAGTGCTTTGCATGCAATGACTTGTTTAATTCTTACAACACCCTATGAGGTAGTTACTCAATTATCCACATTTATAGAAGAAGAAACTAATGTACAGTGAGATTAAGCATTCCCAAGTTCATAGCAACTAATGGGCAGAGTCTGGACATAAACCCAGGCAGTCTGGCTCCAGAATTGATAATCTTAACCACTGCGCAGTCCTGTCCACTAGGAATTATTAAATGAGAATGGCTAAGTTATATATTCAACAGTTCAGAGTTTGTTGGGGTTATTTAATAGTTTTTTATGGAATTTCACAGAGAAATCTCTCTCTCTAAAATGCTAACACCAAATGCAAGTGGATCACAGTAATTTTGCACATTGAGTTTTCAACAAGGACACACCCTGCCAAGTTGGTACAGAAAAAGCTGGGTTATAACAAACTAGATGTTCTAGCATACTTGGAAATACTGCTTGAATTTGTATCACTTTAAAAGCTCATTACCAACTAAGCAAAAAAAAAAAAAAAAGAAGAGGAAAAGAAAAAGAAATACTTGACATTTTGGTATCTGTGTTATTAAAAAGAACTAATATTTAATATTCAAGTGGCAACAGCTTGTAGAGTTTGCACACAACACCCACAGGGATAGATTTTTCTTTAAAATGGCCTTTAGGAGTCTGCCTTTAAACAGCTGACACTCCCATTCTCTGCATCCCTCTTTCCTGCCAGCTCCTTGGGGCACACACTGAGTGCAGCAGCAGACGTGAAATTCTTCACTGCATGATTTGTCTATGCAAATAATGGAGAATGTGAGAAATTAAGAAAAATGTAATTTCCACTGAATCAACCTCAGTGTAATCTCTACTACTGAAAATGAATAGATGTCTTTAGAGGGCTTTTCTACATATGCTTTCTCAATCCCCTCTATACACTATCCATGAGAAAAGAGAAGAACCGTGTTACCTAATTGATCATCAGTCATTCCACACCTGTACCAAGGCCACATAATGACAAGTATTCTGTTATCTGGCATCTTTCCAGCATGACTAATTGTCATAGTGAGGTAGAAAGGGACCTGGGACAAGCATCTTGATTAATTTATCCTGCCTATAATGAAAACTGCAGGGATATAAATAGTATAGTAAGAATAGGAGGGATTCCATCTTAAGGCTAAGATTCCATTTTAAAAACCAGGGAGTTAGCAGGTAAGATTCCTAACATATTTTAAGGGATTTAGCCAACAACTAACCCTTTCTTAAGGCAGGAAAGGCAGTCCTAAAGGGTGTGCTTCCACTGCTTGAGGGTAACCACTATCTTGGGGAAGAACAGGATCAATAAACTCCTTGGGTTAACATTTATCTTACAGAATATCTAGAGCACTGACTATGGACAATGACATGTCTCTCACCAGAGACAGACATCATGAGACCACATGTCAAGCCTATACCACCCCGGCCCTTTGCCCCAGTCTTGAAATCCTTACAAGACATGAATCCTTTAAGCACGCCTCCTCTCTGAGGTTGCCCACACCCCCCTTTCTTCAACTGTGTACTTTACCTTAAATAAAGATTTCCTGCTGCTCAGCTTACTTTGTTATGTCTCTGCATTCTTCCAAACCTCTCTAGAGGTTAATAAGAGACCCCTTCCCCCATGGTTAGTGTCTTTGTGACTTTGCTATTTCACTCAATATTCTATTCTTAAGTATAAGTCTTTACTCTGTCCTACTTCAGGTAAGTAGGAAAGGGCTACCAAGAGCTTTGATTTGGGCTTCCAAGTTCCTGTTGCCTGGGTGACCCAGGCAGGACTACCGCTGTAGGATCATGCTCTTTAGCAGCCTGCTGGAAAATCTCCTTTCCTTCGTTTGGGAAGTTCTCAGAACATAATCTCACTCCATCCAGTGGTCTATGGCTCTCCCAAATCCTGGGGTGGGTAGGGGCTTAGTTCCCACACCGTGCAGATTGAGGCAGGCACTGGATGCCAGGTGACCTTGGCTTCAGGAGTGGGCAAGGGATCTGCCCAATGCTGAGCAGGAGTTCATTGAGCTTACCTTTCCCCCTTCTGTTCTCCCTTGCACTCTACTGCCTGCACAGCTGCTGCCATTCATCACACTACTCTTGTTTTAATGAATTCCTCCCATACCTACACTCATCTGACCTGTTTGAAAACTTTCTCCATCAGTCAAGAACCCTCCCCTATCCAAGTTGAGGTTTTACCTAGTGCACAGGTAGAGCCCTCCCCAGATACAGCTGCCTGGCAACAGCAGTACTAATTTACTCTTCTGTGGAATTTTCAACATCCACAGCCTGCTATTAAAAAGATGTATAATACTGGAATAAAGGTTTTAAAATGATGAACACTCTGAAACATTTCACTTACATTCCAACAGAAATCCTTCATTAAGCCATGTTAGGTGGCCATAATCACTCATTTCTGGGGTTTAAAAAAAAAAGTCACAGATACATTTACCGGGTAAAACAAAAGAAGACAAGTAAACATACCTTTTCTGACATAGAGAAAAAATACTGATCAGCTTACCCAAAACTTGTGTCTTACCTGCATTATTTAGCGAATGTAGCAGTTTAATAACTATTAGGATCTGCATTACAAAGCAGTTCATATTTTGGTTAGTATTAGTTAAGAAAATATTTTTCTCATACCAAATAGTATGATGAAGGAGTAATGTGTCAAATTTTTTTTTCCAAGAAACGTGGGAAAAATCAGGATGTAAATATAGGCATGTATCACTTTAATTACATACGATAGTAAATGAAATTGTGACATCTTTGCCAAGTAGTGTAGCCTGAGGATTTTTTAAATGCTTGGTTACATTCTTTGAAAATTAATATTTGTCATAGAAAATTGTTACTCACAAGTATAATAGCTCAGTTTTCTGAAGATCCTGCAGTTGATTGCCCTCAACTGTGATACTGAGGTGTTTGATGTACCTGTGAAAATTACATAGAAACTGTTGGATCAATTTTAATAAATAGGCTTGATTACTCATGATATAAGCAAAATTTTGAGATAAAAGCCCAGGATTTCCTAAAGAAATTTCAAGAGAATTGTTCATTTTATTCCTACATTCTATTAAATACAAACCTTGTAGGTTGTTCATTTACCCATCCTATAGTGTTATTAGGTCCTAGGAGGAAAAAACATTTCCAGGTCAAGTTTGGGAAATACTGGGTTAAAAAATGTAGGCTCATTATCATTGTTACAAAATATTTCACTTCAGAAACTTCAATATGCTAATAGGCTTTCCAAAGAAAATGTGTATGTTCTTTTCCAACCTTATCTGACCCAGAATGGTGTTGCACAGCATTTCTCCTAAGCCAACAGTCTTCGGAACAGGCTCTGTATTGACTTACGCCTGCACCTCACAGTTACTCAATGCATTCTAGTGAAATTTCAACATCACCCTCTTTTAGTTGAATGGAAATTGTGATATTCTTTGCTTCAGACTTGTTCATGGGGATAAATATGCAAATAGAATCAAAAACACAGACTCGTTTCTTCAAACCAGATCTCAGCCCATGTACTCAGAGGAAAGCGTGGTGAAACAACCCACCCTGGCATGTGGACCTATAGCAATGCTATTACTTCAAATAGGACTTTTAAGTGCTAGAAAAGGAGAAAAGAAAACAGCAGCTTCCTACTAGGCACACTCCTTCTGCTTAGCATATATGAAAACCATTTTCCTCATTTCAAAATTGATAGCCAGCCTACCCTTGCTGTTGTGCTATTCAAATGTCTGTCCTCTTTTTCCAGAGCTTATTTGCTCTAACTCTGAATTTTAAGCATCTCTAAAACTGCTTGATGTTATTATTCCTTCCAGATATCCTCCGAGAGCCAAGCAAAGAACAGTAAGGAAGGAAGAAGGTATGAGGCTGGCTACAGTGCAGTGAGAAAAGGCACTTCGCGGAGAGGGGCACCCACTCCCCAGAGACAGGACTGTGGCATCAGAATGAGAACTTACCGGTACTTCTTGCTGCTCCTTTGGGTTGGTCAGCCCTACCCAACTCTCTCTACTCCGTTATCTAAGAGGACTAGTGGTTTCCCTGCAAAGAAAAGGGTCCTGGAGCTCTCTGGAAGCAGCAAAAATGAGCTGAGCCGTTCGAAAAGGAGCTGGATGTGGAATCAGTTCTTTCTCCTGGAGGAATATACGGGATCCGATTATCAGTATGTGGGCAAGGTAGGATTCCGCTGGGCACTTTGACATTCTAGTTTTAAAAGCCTGAAGAAGTTACTTCTGATAAATAGATGGGGAGGATGTGAACTATTCCCCCAAAACAGTAAGATTGTTGCTTATCCGGTAAGACTTTTTTTTTCACGTGAGTAGTTTCGTGAAGAAGACTAGCAAGAAGCGAGGAGTGTTAGCACTGCAACCAAGGAAAAGGTGCTCCACCTGAAAATGAAACACCCACAACCATCCACACAGGATTATCATAAATCCTTTAATTTTTACTGTAGCTTGAAAAATGTTGTCCAGCTGTTCTATAAAGTAGGATGTATTCAAAGTAGGAATAGAGCAATTAAGCTGTAAGGAAAGCAAGGTTCCTTTTTCTCACTCTGAAAGCAAACATCCTGAGTTTTAGTCCTTTGGCCAGGTTCCGATTAAACTATTTCTAAATTCTGCTACCTACAGTGCCATCCATTCTCTGATCAAATGGAGCTCTTTGTCCTCAGAACACGCTGCTGCCTTAGAGCTGGCTGTCACTATCGCGCCCGCTGCTTCTGTTTTGTCTTGTCTCAAATAATGGGCAAAAGTCGGGCATTTCAAAGGTTTGTGATTTAACTGTGCAAGGTTCATGACCGAGAAAAATGGCATGTAAAGGCACTGTTTCCAAACATCATCTGACCGTTTTCCTGACTCCAGAAGGTGGAATGAGGAGGCATCACTTACCACAGCCCTTACGGATTACTGGAGCTGAGTCAGGGAAGCCACTTGGCTAGGCTGTCATCGTGAGGTTCACTGAAATTTTATCATCAACTATATTCCTGTTGCAGGGTATCTGCATACTGCAAAAATAGATAGATATACAAAAGCAGGGTTACAGGTTTGCACTTTGTAGGTTCTGTGTTTCATTATATGGTATTGATAAGAAAAACAATTAGCACATGTCCTTTACATAAACTAATGAGGAATTAACATAATAGACACAATAAAATGTCTTTGTTCATGATTAGAGCTACCATTTAAAAATATCTATATTGGGATATCAAACCAGTAGCATAAATTTTGCAGATTCCAAGGGCTGCATGTTTCATCCTTCAATGTTATAAAATATTCCTCAATAACTTGTAAAGTATTTACTACTATACAAATGAAGGAAAGCTATGCACAGCTTGGGCTGAGGTAACCAGGCATTGTTCCAATGATGTGAATTATTAATATGGAATAAAGTAGGAGAGGAAGTATTCAGTGAAGGAGTGAGCATCGACACAGATCCTCAAGGGGCTAGCCTTGTATTTGCTGTGGAATTTACATGCTGTGTGACTGCTGAGAAAGACAGTCCATTTACTTGGACTCTACTTTGTTTCCTCTGTGAAATTTGAATAGCACTACTTTAATAGGGTAATGTTTGTTAAAAAATAATAACAATAATCTAATCATCTTTAAAGCACTTGTTGCAATACAAATAACATTACTGCCATAAAAGATTGAGTTTTTAATAATGCTTTGTCTAAATCATTGATCCTCCCTTTTATTTTTCTGCTTGTTCTTCTCAAATCATGGTGCCATATATATATTTTTTTATTTTGGTATCATTAATCTACAATTACATGAGTAATGTTATGTTTACTAGACTCCCCCCATCATCAAGTCCCCCCCACATACCCATTACAGTCACTGTTCATCAGCACAGTAAGATGCTATAGAGTCACTACTATCTTCTCTGTGTTGTACAGCCCTCCCTTTGACCCCACCTACATTATGTCTGCTAATTGTAGTGCCCCTTTTTTCCCCCCTTATCCCTCCCTTCCCATCTATCCTCCCCAGTCCCTTTCCCTTTGGTAACTGTTAGTCCATTCTTGGGTTCTGCGAGTCTGCTGCTGTTTTGCTCCTTCAGTTTTATTCTTTGTTCTTATACTCCACAGATGAGTGAAATCATTTGATACTTGTCTTTTTCTGCCTGGCTTATTTCATTGAGCATAATACTCTCTAGCTCCATCCATGTTATTGCAAATGGTAGGATTTGTTTTCTTCTTATGGCTGAATAATATTCCACTGTGTATATGTACCCCATCTTCTTTATCCATTCATCTACTGATGGACACTTAGGTTGCTTCCATTTCTTGGCTATTGTAAATAGTGCTGCAATAAACATATGGGGGCATATGTCTTTTTTCAAACTAGATGGTGCCACATATTTTTAAAGAAAGGCCAGGATGTTTCAGGATACTAAAAGTGGCAACAAAGAACATGGCATAGAAATGTGAAGTGGCATAGCACTGCCACCAATTGCCAGCTTTGTGGTCCAGGGCAGGTTATCACTCTTTCTGGGCTTTAGTTTCTTCATCTAGAAAATGAATCTAACAGTGCCTGCCGCACGGAGTCCACAGTGTAGTTTAAGTAAGACAAGAACTAAGAGGTGGCACATAGTAGGTGCATTAAAAAAATTATTGGTGAAAAATCCTTGTGTACATTCTACTAAGTCTACCTGTAATGCACTGCAGTGGAATATTGACTTTTTTATATCATTGCAGAAGTCAAATGTAATTAACAGATCTCTCAGTGGGTGGAAATTGTAGAGAATAGTGGCAAAATTGTTTCACCAACACACCTTCAATTTGGAGAATTGAATACAATTCATTTTTATTGGCAGCTAAATAAATTTCACTACCTCACTATCATGTGGCTTGCCCCACCTCCTTGAAGTTGTAACACAGAAGAGCTTATCTGCTGGGGAAAAAATGTCAAGGGCAATAATTGAAATTGTCATACTTGCCAGCATTGCTACACCAGATAGGTGTAAGAAGGGTTCTTTCACTATTCATAAGGCATTTTCTCAAATCTATCTTTGGAGTTATGTTTTACCAATAGACGAAAGGATTAAACTATAATGTATTTTTTACCAATATTAAAAATAGACCAGAAAAACAAGTTTGTTCCTCATGCAGTGACAAGTTGGTCCCCTTTTAATAGATTTGGAGTAAAACAGATACCTGATGGGATGATTCAAGTCCACAGATGCAGAAACTTTTGAAAAGAAAAATGTTAGACTAAAACAGGGGTTCCAAAGCTTTCTTGGTTCACCATGCCTTTAATGTCTCAATACTTTTTTTTCACAATGCCCTTAGGCCAAAAGAAACAGGTCCTAACAACTTAATAAGTACTTATGTTCTTACATATAAATAACTTTTTGAAAAAAAATAGACACAAATTAACAGAAAAAGAATAATGTTTTATTTCACTCTTAAATAACCACAATTATTTATGATGATTATGATTACTGAAGGAATGTGGACAGCTACTGTGTACTGAATAACTTCTCAGAGTGGACACCATCTCCTTATTTCCTTTCCACATTGATTTTTTTTTTGCACCAAACTTGCTTTTTATCACAAGTATTTTGGAAAATCCAGCTTCATAAGCATATGACATCATCAAAAGGAATGTAGCACCATCTACTACTGAAACTGAACTACCCTGAGCTAGTAATTCAAGGGGTATGTGATAGAGCTCAAGTGTTATTGTATTTCCCTGCTTTACCTCAGGGCGCCTCAGTATGCACTTTCGGGACCATAAGATGGTAGTCAGGTTGCTATTCAAAGGTGCATAAAGGCTAATAAAACCTTAAATTGTGCTATTAGCCCTACTCAATAATAGATACTTTGACCCTATCCTTGGGTCCCAAAACTGAAAAGATTGATCTGTACATGTAATGCATAAAAGCATTAATTGGGGAAAACTAACGTGGTTGAGCAAATAGCACTTAAGTAGAAGTAAGAAGTTTTCACATTACAAGCATGTTATAATGGTTATAACTGGTTCCAGTTACCTTGGAGTAAGTCTATAAGGATGACAGTGATAAAGATGGAGTCAGGAAAATGTGGGAATGGGTATGGGAGCAGAGGGCTTTCAACTATAGAAGGAGAAAAAAAAAAGGGAGGGTCCCATAACATCTGAGAAGCAGTAAAAGACAGGCATGAGAGGCCAGAATGACAGTGGAGTGAGTAGAGATCATACTTAAAACCTGAAGCTAGGGATAAAATTCCATTATAGGATTAAAGAGGGTGGCATGAGAGGTGAGACAGAGACCTCCTCCTAGAACCACATATAATATAAAAATATAATTTAATACAACTAATCCTGAAAGACCAACAAGAAAGAAGGCTGCATCAGAATGCATACACCTGGAGAAAACAGCAGACCTCAAGGAACAGGGTAACATACCAAAGCTATGACCCAGTGGGACCCAAGCCCTTCCCCCATCCCAGCTCACAGGTGGGAGGAAGCGAAACAGAGCAGGGAGAGAGTGGAGGCCTGGGAATGCTGAACACCTAGTCCTGGAGATCTGCTCTGGGAGCACGAACCTACATTGCATGGTGCTCTGGTGATTTAATGCTGTTGGAAAGCTAAAACAGGTGGAATACCTGGAGAGACGGAGATTCCAGCTGCTTGTGGAAAACAGGGATTCATATCCAGCTGATCTGGGTGGGCAGCCTGAGAGACTTCCTAAAAGCGAGAGGGCTGCTAAAGGGGCAAGGATTGCACAGAGCTTACTGCTCATGAGAAAGGAAACATAGACAAAATTGTCCAGTGCACTCTGCCCAGCAGGTTGGGAGCTTAAATGATCTTCATGTACTCCATTCCCCTGGCTGGCTACGCAGCTCACACCCCACCATGATACTCAGCCTGCTGTGTCCTCCTCCTGGCTAGACTGCACCTGGCTCAGGCTAGGAAATCAGCAACCTCTGCCCTGGTGTCAGGCCAGCCAGAGGGAAGCCCTGCCTATGGCAGCTACAAACACAAAGCATAGAGGCTTACACCTGTGTGTTTGGCTCACTGGTCTAGCAGTGGAAACAGGCATAGCAGCTGGGAATCAGGAAACAGCGCTTTCCACCCCCCAAGCACCAACACCACTCCCCTGTGACCCCCAACACTGCTCCATGGGCTGAGCAGCTCCAAAGAGTAGAGCTTCTGGGAACTAGATGACACCACAGACAAATTATGAAAAATCAAAGGAA